GGAAAGAGAAGTTCCACAAGTCTCAGCTCTGGGGTTACTGCAATAAAGTGGCTATGCTGGTTGGAGAAGATAAACCTGGAATAGGAGGCGAACCGTTACCTGGACAGAAGCCAAAACCTAAATACAGTGTATTTCCTAGGGAGATAGGAAGTGATGCTCCTACTTGGGTAGCATTTGACAAACAGGTATGTAGAAATCTGTATCTGTTACCAAAAGATGTTTTCTATGATTAGATACAATATGATGAAGAAGGTATAAGGATGAACTTCAGTTAGTCAAATACATGAGAAGATGATTTTGTGCATGCAAAAATAGTTCCTAGATAAACAAGAGGAGTGGCAATTTTTATTTTTCTGTAATATTGGTGTGTTAGGCAATTAATATAAACATATATCATGCCATACAACAACATTTAAAGATATTTCTGCGCTGGTGTACATCTCCAAGAGGATATGATAAAAAGGGGGTGGTTGATGTACTGCTTTTTAGTGAAAAAGATGACAGCAAAGGAATTGACTGGCAGCCTAGGAAGAATTAATGGACTCCTTTGTGCCCCCTCCCTCCTTTGTTTTTAATAAACAATCAATCAAACATGTATTTACAGGGATGTAAAGTAGGCCCCAGTCCAGGAGAGAATCTGCATGGGCATACAGGGAACATTAACCACAGTGGAGTGCCATAGGCTCAGAATTTACTTATCTTCTTGCAGACATATTTTCTTGCAGAAAGTCACAGAATCCCTTTGTTTTTAATAAACAATCAATCAAACATGTATTTACAGGGATGTAAAGTAGGCCCCAGTCCAGGAGAGAATCTGCATGGGCATACAGGGAACATTAACCACAGTGGAGTGCCATAGGCTCAGAATTTACTTATCTTCTTGCAGACATATTTTCTTGCAGAAAGTCACAGAATAACGGAATGGTTGAGGTTGGAAGGGACCTCTGGAGATCATCTAGTCCAACTTCCCTGCTCAAGCAGGGTCACCTAGAGCATATTGCCCAGGATCACATCCAGGCGGGTTTTGAGTATCTCCAGCGAAGGAGACTCCACTACCTCTCTGGGCAACCTGTTCCAATGCTCTGTCACCCTCACAGTGAAGAAGTTTTTTCTCAGGTTTAGGTGGAACTTCCTGTGGTTCAGTTTCTGCCCGTTGCCTCTTGTCCTGTCGCTGGGCACCACGGAGAAGAGACTGGCCTCATCCTCTTGACACTCCCCCTTCAGATACTTATACACGTTGATGAGATCGCCTCTCAGTCTTCTCTTCTCCAGACTGAACAGGCCCAGCTCTCACAGTCTTTCCTCATAGGAGAGATGCTCCAGTCCCCTAATCATCAGTCCTTAGTACAAGGAGGCTCTCACTTCTTTCATTTTAAATAGAATGGATCACCTACTACCAGAAATCTTGCAGAGAATTAATGTAAAAAACCTCTATGTGTGACTTTATGGTAGAAGAAGGAGATACTTACTTTGAACAAAACAGATTTCAGTCACACTTATTGTCTCATAGTTTTCACTCACTCATGGACATGTACTCAGAGGCAGCCGATGTGGTCAGGCCAGGAGCAGCTTCAGCTCCCGAGTCCTCACTGCATCTCTGGGGCTATTCTTAACTGGTGACAGAAATCTGATTTTAGACAGGTTTTAGATGCCTGTTAGCAGTCAACAGTTACCATGGGGTGATCTTTCGCCTCTGAACCTTGCTGCCTACTGTCTTTATTTCTTTTTTAGGGGTATCTTTATGGCTGTAATTTGACTTCCTGTTAGGATAACAGGAGTTGAAACAGCACATGTGATGTAGCCTTGTTTCCACCACCTTATATACATCTAGATGAGAAGACCTGCCTCCTGATGATGACACATTCCTCTGTGTTTACAGGTTTGATTGCTGTTCATCAAGTATTTGGTTATCTATTGCTATATGCCATTGTTTTTAACTCTTGCTTTCTGTTTTTTCTTCTGGTGCTTTCACATGCAGGCATTTCCGTTCATATTCCATGCAGATAAATCTTGATATTTCTGTTGCAGATATCTACAATCTGAAAGATAAAATGGAGCTAACTTTTGCAATTACAGTGGTTTATTTTGGTCATTTGAGCTTTTTGCTCGGATGTGAATATTTAATACTACAGAACATAAACCAGATGCATAGTCTTTCAATTCTATTTTGATTTTATCTGCATGGCTTATGCTTCCCAAGTTCTGAAGGCTTATAAAAATATTTAATGATGGCAACATAGACATGAAACAAGCCACTGGTGCCAAGAAACTTAAAAAGCTGGAAGTCATTTCTTCAGCATAAATAATTCTAGCTTCTCTTTCAAAATTTTCTGATGAAATTACTTTTCCCCCAAGTATAAAAGCAGCTATATTTTTCTGCAGATTGCGAACTTTGAGCATGAACTGATTAGTACCTCTCTACATCAGGTCATGTGGGATTTGTGTGTGTATGAAGTATTTAGTCAGCACTGACTGCGTTCCCAGAAGCCTGCCCTGGGAAAGAGGACACCCCTTTGCCACATTCTGTGTACTTCCTCCTTCTGTTGGAGTTTTGCCAGGAGTTCCTTGCTCAGCCATGCAGGTCTCCTGCCCCCTTTGCTTGACTTCTTACTCAGAAGTCCTCAGAAGTCCTGTTGACTTTTGTGTGATCCATTCATGTGTAAGGATACAGGTAGATTGTGTCCTTTGTAGACACAGGAATTTAAAATTATTGTATTTTTATTTTGAAAAGATATAGCAACACCTTTAAAGTTAGAGAGTAATCAAATAACTGTAGTCTATAGTGATTTGAATTTGTAGCACCCTGTCATTACTTCAGTGTTTAAATTTACATTAAATTCTTCTTAGTGATGTTTTATTTCTAAAGCAAAAAGTCTACCATCAGAGAAGGAAAATGATCCAAAAAAAGAAATCACTCTACAGATCATAGAAATGTTGCATGACAAAATGATTACAGTATTTAAATATTGGGAACGATGGCTAATCTCATAATTTTTGCTTTAAAGTAAAAGCCACACAGGTGATTGCAGTACAAATATGCATTTGTCTCTTTGGCAGACCACAATTACTACAAGCAAATGTAAGGCTTGAACAGATGCACATGACTTTGATTAGCCTTGCCTCTGAAGTCCTTAATATTTCTCTCAAAGTTTTCACTAAGTGAAAGTATGGGGTGACCCAAGTATGAATGGGTCTAATGTGCCACAGTGTTAAGACCTCAGCCAATCCTATGCGTGCTTCATCCGCACTTTTTTTTCCTGTGAGGAGGCATCATTGGTTTACAGGATTTGGACTCTAGTTTATGAAATAAAGGAGTTAGGTAAGAGACGGTGGGGATTCCTGCCACTGAACATCAGGCGGTTAACTAGGCTAGTGAGATGGGCCAGCTGGCCTCTCTTAGCAACTTCTCTACTCGGTGCATTCCTCTACAGAGAAATACAGAACAGGAGTTTATGGTTTCTGGATTGGCCTTGGGAGGGCCTGTGTCTTTGTAGTAATTGTAGACTGTCACAGGGTACTACCCAGCTAATTTAGCCTCCTCAGTTAAGTGCCTAGTATGCAGGTATGTCCTGCAGTGCTGCAGTTTGTGACTCAGTAAAATAGGCTACATGAGAAATGGCTTGAATAGGTGTTTAGTCTTTTCAATAAATTTATTTTCTTACCCATTTTTCTTTGGTTTCTAACTTTCATCTGTACCATTATGGTTGGAGGACAGACAGGCATGATATCATTAAGAAGGTTAAGAAACAGTTTTTTTGTAATTTGTTATTCCTAATAAGAAGCAGGTGGAAATTTAATCTCTTTTATAATTAAGTGCACACTTAAGTCCTCCTGGGCTTGAAAAGATGTCTATAATTTGACTTGCTACATTTACCAGGTAAGCAATGTGCCAACTTTATCACATGCCACAGAGTTTATTCAATATTTGTTGCTTCTGTGGCTTTTCTACATAGTTTATGTTTATGTTTAATTTTTTTAAGAAGAGGGCACTTTGTGCACAGCAATGTAATACAGATGAGACATGAGTTAGGAAGTGTTGAATGTTGACTATTTCCAAAATTAACTTTGCTTTAAAGTGGTAAGTAAGTCATCTTTCTGTTCTTTCCCTTTCCCTCTTCACCCTTCCTGAATCATTTGTTTTGTAAGTTGACTGCACATATTCCAGTCCTACATTAGCATGTTCCTAAGGAAGGATATACAGTTTAAGAACAAAAAAGCTTGCACAAACTTACCCAATGAAATGAGCGATGACATGGGTGAATGCTCAGTGCAGTGAATAATTACAGTATGTTTAGGACCTGATCTTGCTTGGAGATCTGTGCAAAGAGACCCTTCCCCTAGCTGGTGTCTCATGAGGCAACTATTCTGATTAAAGATTATTGATAGAATTAAAAACAATTAATAACCAAATAGAGCACTTGAACAATACAGTTGTCAAATGACTGTTCCCTAGTGAGACTGGCAGAATAGGGAAAAGAAGACAGAGCAGCTAAGGAAATTGCTTGTGGTTGCATGGCTAATCAGCAACAGGGAATAAAATTCAGCTCCTTGTCAGCTGAAACCTATGATGTTTAGAGTGGGATATAGTGGCTCCACCAAATAAATTTAGTACCTGTTAAATGCCCTGGAGTAACTAAAAAGATTAATTCAGGGCTCATGGTCCTTCTAGATGAGCAGCTGAAGGCCAGGCAGGGTTGCTTGGTCACCCAAAATGGCACTAGATTCCTATGTTTAGACAAATGAGGTTGGAAGGAAGAAGCAATGTTAAAGGGCGTTAGAGTTGTTTGTGTTGCCTTTGTTGTGTGCTTTCGGTCTGTCAGATGTTTTATCCAGAATTTTCATGTTTGGTACATAAAACACTGAAATCCACAGTTGAAAAAAAAAAAAAACATGGCCAGAACAAATTTTTGTTTATTTTCAACTATTTGATCTGTAAATTGGTCAGAAACTTTCATGTTTACTACTTAAACAAGCCATAACAGATAATTTCTAGATTCTTTTATGTATGTATCTATATGTGTATAGATCTATATCTATATCTGTGTATAGATCTAATGCAATCAGATTTAATAGTCAATAGTTATTTCTTTTGGTTGTAAGTTGAATTTTATTTCTCTAATGGTGGCAGGTTAGTTGATGCCAGAAGCGTGTTTCTCATATTGTGTTTGATCCAGGCTGAAAATTGGTTGGACCTTAGGCTTTGAAATAGTTCCTGAAAATAAAAGTTTCCTCATCTTGTCTTTATCCTACCTGAGAGAGGGGAGCATAGCCTGTTGAGGAGTCTGACTGGGACACAGGGCATCTGTTTTTGTGTACTCTTGAGCAAACCACTAGCTCTATCTCCTAAATGTAGAAAAAGAGATTGTATGTGTCTGTTGGGATGTTTTAAGATCTCTTTCATTAGTATTTGTGGAAGTACTTTGATATTCTCAGAGATATGAGCTAAAGAAATGCAGACTATTAACAGGTCTGTTCCGTGTCATCTTGGGAACTCAAATAACTCACTAGGAGTTTTCAGACATTTTCAAGTGGATACCAGATGCTCATTGAAACATAGGGAATAGCTAAGTTTTCTTTTTTTCCAGTGCTTCATTTTGTATAATGAATCAAGATTAGAGGTTTTTGAATTTATTAAAGGTAACTATTATAAAAATGAAGCATGAATTAGTACTGATTTGAGCCAAATGTACTGAGAAGGAAAACCTTGTTTTTACTAACGCCTTCTCACATGTATTTGCTAACACAGGCATCCTGGTTGATAATGCATTACTAAATAGGTATTTTTTGCACACTCCCTTTAACTTGGTCTCAGTGAATAAAGACCATAAATGATACCAAGAAGTGCAAAACTCACATAATGCTTTGCAAAGCTTGAGCTGGGATGTCCAGAAATAAAGGTCACTTTAGTAAACCACTGAACATCTCACCTATGAAGACTTTTCTTTTCCTGGGATTATTGCTATTGCATAATACCGTGAAGGCAAGTTGGCATATTCTCTGAAGCCCCCACCCCCTGCCCTTGCTGAATAGCAGAACCAGATAAGTTTTGAAATGACCGTCTTGCACATCTCTAAATGACTCCTGAAAGAATGTCATTTCTCTCTGATAGTCTTCAGTACCATTCATTAGACAGCTTGCAGAATCTGCTTGAAAAGAACTCTCCTCCCCAGTATTGTCAGAATACACTGTATTTTCCAGCAGTTCAGTGAATAGAAGTCTAAAATTTGCTTCAGGACCTAGGTAGCTCATTGTGCTATCAAAAGTGCTTTGTTCAGATTCTCCAAGCAGCCTGCTGATAGTTTTATATTTGATTTATTTCTTTACTTTAGTGTTGCAGCTCTGCTTAGATGTTGTGGTAATAAAAATGCCAACCAAAGAATTTAAAATTTATGTGATTTAATGTGGATTTCCATTCTTACATTTCTGAGAAATAAATCTACCTCATGAAATCCATACATTTAGTTAGCTTATAATCTATACAAGTTTATTTTATTGATGTGTTCTGCAAAAGCGTTGACTGAAGATTTTGCTTCTTTATATTTATTTATCGTTCTTAATAGGTATTGTCTTTTGATGCCTATTTTGAGGAGGAAGTGCCTGACAAAAATCAAGAGCTCTATAGAATAAGACATTGTAAAATATACTTCTACCTTGAAGATGATACAATTCAAGTGGTTGAACCCGAAGTGAAAAATAGTGGAATAACTCAAGGTATCTATTTTTGATAGCGCTGTGTTTTATTTTTTGCCCTTTATACCTTTTCTCAGTACAGTCTCAATCCATTCTAAAGGATATCTAATATGACTTCTTACAGTGAAAATGGACTGTAAGTGAAATACTGTGAATGATTTTTCTTGTTCTGGATGATAATGTGAACTTTTTTATTGTCTTAGTTTCTGAAGATCCAAGTTTTGTACGGCAGAATCCTGCCCCTGCTTCCCCCTTCTTTTTCTGGAGTATAGCTGTTCGAAATCGTATGATAGTGGGTCTTTTGTCAGTGTTTTGTCACTTTTGCAGAAACAATTATGTGTTCTGGATCTCCATTCTGAAGCCTGGTTCCTCCCCTCTTGGCACTGATTGTAAATTCTCTAGCTAAAACTCTGCGGTTGTTCATTACCTTCTGCAGGTTTCTCTGCCTTTAATAAAGGAGAGCACCTTTGGTGTCTCTGGCTGTTGATTCCTTTATGATTAGAGTATCCTCGGCTCAGTAAGTTTTCCTTGACACCCCTCAGCTAAGAGGTTACTTGCCTCAGGGTCACGCTGCTGCACTTGGGTCAGCCTGAGGACGTTTAGAGGAGGGTTTAGGGATTTACTGGGATATTAATGGACTTGGTTTACATTAGCAAAACGTGATGTGGCAATCAACCTCTTGCTGCAGAAGCGGAGTACAGCTGCTGCTTCTTAGTGTTTATGGGTCAGAATTAAAAAACAAACAAACAAAAAAACATTTCAAGGGATATAGTCCAGATAAGCATGATGTCTTGGGATGAGTATCTTGGGATGACTGCACCACCTAGTCTCCAGAGATTTTGTGTATATTCTAGTGTATTTTAGCACAGTAATTCCCCCACTCCCCAAAAAAGAAAAGAAAAACAAACAAACAAACAAACACTACTTAACTACCAGTTTCTTTATAGAGTAGGGATAGCATCTGAAGGCGTTGCCTGTATTATTACTGTTATACATGCAATACGTTTTCCAGGAATCTTTTCTTCTTGAATTGTTACTTAATGCCTTGCTCTCCCTGGGCTGAAAGTTCTCCTTGCCAGAAGTCTTGCTGACTATTCTGTAGCAGAGCTGATTTTGAATTCAGGGGAACCGCTTCCTCCCACATGGGCAAATGTTATTTCAAGGCCTGCAGAGACACATGTTGGAGCTCTTCACCTGGGAACTTACGCGGCAGTTATCCTCCCTGCCCCTGCCCTCATCTGTGTGAGGTTGGAAACATCATCAGATGTGAGTGTTCCTTGACCTGTGTGTCACAGGAGTGAAGACAGCTGTTTCTGGCTTAAGCAGCTTAGAACAAATGACCTTCAACAGAAAGGAAGTATGGTTAACACCAGAGATAGAGGTGACGTCCTTGAGAGGAAAGGTGGAAGCTGGTTTCATTATAACAGGATAAAGCACATTCAAAGCTGATCCCTTTGAATCTGTCTATAGGAACTAGTCATTTTCACTGTCATTGCAGTATGGGTTGTGCAGACTGCATCTTCAGGCCTGATGTTCCTAGCAGTCTGGTAATGTTCCCATGGTGACAGGTAAGCTCCAATTTCCCCTTATTTTCTTGGGTTAATGGCTGTTGGAATCATGTAAAATTAACTGGATATGCTTGTAGAAAAACAAGAATTCTTCCAGTGTCCCATGCAAGGATATTTTGAAGGCCTGTAGAGCTTTGTCCAAGTACTTATGTGGGATCAATGAGTATCCATAAAGCATTAAACTGATGGATTAAAAAGGAATGTTCCAGGATCTCAAAAATGCACTTAATTCATTTGTTGCTGGTACTGGGGCTGGTAAAGAAGTTCTATATATTGATTGTTTTTGTGAAAGAAGAGATACTGTAGATTGAAAGGCTCAGAAACCATTTGAGATATATTAAGGCTCCACAGTTAATGAGAAAGTCTATGGCATATACTTTATCTTAAGTATCCATATAAATATTCTTTTTATCCTGGAGATGAACATGATTTAGAGGGGAAAAAAGGTGGTAGAGACACCTATCAGAGAATTCTTTGGTCAGGTGCACTTGGGCAGTGTCTTTACTCTGCATAACTGAAAGCGTAAAAAGAGCAGCCATGAAGTTGTTATCCTAAAGGTAGTATGTATATTCAAGCAACAAATATTTAAAAGCACTATTTCTTAAAAAGAAATCCAGATGCATCAGCTGCCAGTTCTATTCCATTTTAGAGTAAAAATTATCCTGTTGTCTTTTATATTGTAATTATGTAATGTTATATAATAGTACAATTATTATCTCACACGTTATTCAAATTCCCTATCCTGACTGGGAATATGGTAAGTCTGAAAACAGCATAAGTGTAACTGTCTGCATGGTAAAGCTGGGAAGCTGAGACACAAAGGAAGGGAAGTTTTGCCCGTGATCATACAAGAAGGCTTGTAATAGAAAGAGGAATTGAACTCAGGCCTTTTATTTAAAAGTTCAGGATCTTAGCCATAATGCTATCTTCTGCAGCTCTGCTGAAATGGAGTATTTCGGGTAAATAAAATACAAGGCTTTTGCAGAGGAGAGTTCAGTTGTAGGAGACCTTGGGTTGGTGAAATAAGAGCACTGAACAGAAAAGCACAGATATGGGGTTGTGAATGATGAAAAAAGTGTGAGAATGTCAGGAGCAAGGCAGGCCCAGTCTGCATGGACGATAGGAGAGTTGGCAGTGACAGGAAAGGGGTTGCGTACAGGAGCAGCAGCAAAAAGCAGTGACAGAGAAAGAGCTAACTGGTCAAGTTTCAAAACGGATCTGTTGATGGTAAAAGGTGGTGGGGACCCTTATTTGGATGTTCCTGCTACCCAGATGGAAAAGATGTGAGAAACAGCTGAAATGGGTGTTCTGACTCAGGAGTTGTCCTGAAGAGCAGGTATAGCAGTGGTAGGGTAGCTCAGAGGCCGTGATCTGAGCTTGACTGGCTTATCCCTTGGGGTCACTGGATTACCAGTGCTTGTGCCGTTCCCCATAGATGAGAGCTTGATGGTCTGAATGGGTGTCCGTGGGCATGGTGAGATCAGGGAAGTGTAGCAGTTTCCTGCTGTAGTCTCCACTGTGGGTGGTACTTGTGGCTTTGCAGAAAAGGTCTTGCAGAGGCGTTCAGAGTGCGGGAAGACTTGGTGAAGAACAGCTGGCAAGGAAGCCTTTGTAACTTCAGTTATGAGTTTACGAAACTAAAACAAATTGGCTTCAAAAAAAAAAAGACTAGAAAATGTACTTTTACCAGTAATCAAAATCTCAGAGTGACAAAATAAATGATCTGTGGGAAATGTGTTCCAGTGACTTGAAAAACAAATGCTTTATGGAATTGGCTGCTGTACTTGGACATGAATTTGGACAGATAAGGTTGCTACTAAAAAACTGAAGTTTAAATTTGTTTAATTTTGGAAACTGCATTGCTATAGCTTGAACTTTGGAAAATATTATAAGTATTAGAAGAAATCTATCTAAACAGAAATTCAGTGCAAAACACAAAGGAATGCAGAGGCCAACCTGAACTACTGAGAAACCTGAATCAAAGCTAAAAATACCAGTACAATCAAAGTACACAAGAACTAATTAAAGATAAGAGAGTACGGAGTGAAGAGAAGGACAGTAAAGTCAACCACATAACAAACTCCACCTATGTTCTTCCAGAGCCAGAATGCTAATTACTCTCCCCATATAAAAAGAAACTCTTCCCAGAGAGCGCCTGGCTAGATATGGTGGTGCAAGTGTTCTGTAATTCTAATTCCCAGTTAACAGGACTGTGGCTGCCTGATACTCTCTTATCAAAAGGTCATTTATGTCCCATGGGGTTAACTGTATCTTTCAGTGCAGTCCAGAGCACAGTGGAGCAGCTGGCTGGTTTCCCCAAGGTCAGCCAGCTGAAAAAGAGACTGGAGCTGCCTGCTGGCTGGGTTCCCAAGGCCGGCTGGCTGAAGAGAAAAGTACAATCAGGAAAGTGAAGTTGCAGTCAGCTCCTCCAATATAACTGATTATCTAAGAGTTTAAGACCTACCCTGAGACCTTGAGATAACTGGGATTTTGCCATATTTAATGAAGGCCAAATCATGACCTTGCTACATACTCGCATGGGTGAACAAGTGAATGTAAAAAGTCTCCTCGTTTTTAGGGGCGAACTCTTTGCATTGCAGGAATAGTAATGGTTGCTTCTCCTCCTTTCTGTCCATGTGTTACCCATTCCCTGTAATGTGCTCCTGAGTTGTGCAGAGGGAGTAGGTAAGTTGTGCTGAGGAAATTCCTGATACCACTTTATTTCTTCCGGAGCAATATAACGGCGACACCAAATCATTTGCTGCCAGGCTTCATGAGCTGCCTCATAGTGAAGAGTCCTTCACTACGATAAAAGACTCCTTAAGCTGCCACTGGACTTGCCCCAAAATTAGCAGCTCTGAGAGAAGAACAGATATCCTGCAAAGGGTGGTGTGGGAACTTACTGATGCCAGCACCACTGTCAGAAGGCAGCAGTACCCCAAATCCCCTTACAAGGGCACAGTAAAGGAGGTCTTTAGCCTGATAAGATGCAAATATTTAAAATAATTATTGGTGATGCTGCAGGATACCCTGCTGAATAAACTGACACCCTCTTAATTTGAAAAAAAGAAGCATTAGAATGGCCATCCATCCTGAGCAACCTGATTGTTGTACCTTGACAGGACTCCATATGACGGCTTCTGGCAAATTTCTAGAAGTAGAAATGTAATTATTTTCCAGAAGGAAGGGCAATTAACAAAAAGCTGAAACCTAACCTCAGCAGATTAAGTTTTATTACATTTCAAATTCAACAATATAAAATGTATCTTCTACCTGTGTAGGTCAGGCACATACCTAATAAAAGCAAAGGAGTGCTGGGCTTGATATTATCTGTACAAGACGTTTTCCATTAGGAAAGAAATTTTTATCCCCTCAGAACGAAGTGGGGATGTGTATTGTACTTTGAGAAATGGTATCAAAAACTAGCTGAAGGCATATTCACCAGTTCCAGGGTGAATACCCTCAGGAAGTAGCTCATATTAGAAAACTGTTGTCAACTATTATATCTTAACTAACACGATGATTCAACAAGATTTCTATTTATGTGGAGGACTGTTCTGATACAGCACCTTATCTGTTCATTTTTGCAAGAGTGACCCAATGGTTAGCTAAAACTAGTTAACACATTTTGAAAAGATGCATTTTTGTTTGTGGTAGTACTATATCGTCTTGCATCATATTAAAATGTGCTAATTACCATGTTTTCTACCTAATATTTTTGTGAGGATGCATCCTAAACATGTGTATAAGTATGTTTAAGTAGATAGAAGCTGGAGTTTATTTTTACAGGCAGTGACCAAAATATTAGATGTGGTATCTGTGAAACATCAGGGAGCTGAACAGGCCTGGTTTTAAGGAGAAACGTAAAGTAAATATGCTTTGTTGGATTATTTCCTTGAAAAATTAAGGAAATGTTTTCATCACAGGAGTGAAACAATGTAGTAAAGGAATGCATCTCATATAGATTAGTCCCTAGGAGAGTAAAGCGAACAATAAAGAATTTCCATGGACTAACTCAGAAATATGGCCATTCAGACACCAAACAAAAACATGCGGGAGTATCTTTCTTTCTCCCTCCTCCTCTGCTTCTCTTTGTCCCGTCCCTCTCCCTCAACAAAATAGCAGTGCTGGAGAATCATCAAGAGGGATTCAGTGGGAACCATTACCAGATGCACAGCTGAAGGGCACTGGAAAGAGACCCAGTTCCGTAATGAGATATAATGAGATAGACCTTTTAGATAATTCTATCTCATAAACTGTTATTATAGTAGTAGGTTGATATTGGAACTATTTTGAATTTTGGAATTCTAGTATGTTTACTGTAGTTGTTTTAAAGTTGTACCTTTTATAACTACTGTAATTTAAAAGTTGTTAGGAACCTCTGGTGGCAAGGAATTATTATAATGGTATAGGTTGGTGGTTTCTGTCTGGCCTTAGCCCTGGTACCCTCGTTATGAAGCCATTGTTACAGAGGTGTCTTGAGTTGGTAAGCTCAGCAAAGGGGCTTAGATTGAAAACTGGACCATCTTTTTATTCTTACCAGGTTGTTTTCACAGAACTATATTGATGTATTGTTGTGGCAACTTTCATGTTGTCTTATTTGTCCTTTCATAATATTAAAAGCAAGTATTTAGTACCAGCTTTGCCAGCCTGCTATTCTTCGTGAATTCTAACTTAGAATAAATCATAGTTTATCATACACACAGCTGCATAACTTTTCCTTTAATGTATGTGTTACACGTTTGTATGTACTATGAGACTGTAGCTTATAGGTTGTTTCTAAAGTACTTGTAGTAATGAATACTTTTAAAGCATAGCCAATTCAGCAACATACGTGTCAGTTTTCAGCTGGTACACCAATAGCAGATTCCTCCTCTTTTAATGTGGTGAATATAAACAAAAACGTTGCTATAACGAGGAAAACTTAAGTGTGTACTAACTTTAAACTCAGTTAAAGATAAGATCTCCACTTGTTTTTATTTCTTCTCTTTTTCTTTTGGATAGTGTTCATTTTGGTTTCTTAGGTTTTTTTTTTTTTTTATGTTTGTGTAATGAGTTATTGGCTTTGTATTTTGGAATGGATCAATATTTTACCATTTTCTACTGGAATGCAATCAGCTCTACTCATCTCAGATGCCTCTACTTTCAGTTTACTCTTTCAGGAAGCTCAGTTGCTCACCCTGGCCTCCATCCTTGATAGGTTAGGCTTTTTTTACCTTGGTAGGGCAGGTTTTTTCTTTAACCTTGGTTATGTATGGTTCTTCTCACCCTGTAGAGCATACAGACAGTTCTTATCAGCTCCTCCCACAACCCTCTAAGAAATTTATGATTCGGACTGTCATTGCCCTAGAGTTTCTGCCACTTTTTTACACAACTTTTTGTTTTCTTTTCAGAAAAATAAATGATACTTAGAAGCGTTGAAGAGTACTGTTGCTTTTCAGTGAAGGTGGAAAAGATATCTCTTCTCTTAATTAGAACAGTATCTTTTGCTGCTCTTGTTGGAAAGAGTACTCACCTGTTATGTTTAGACCAATAAATGTGAATTTATTGAAGTGTTTTCCTGTTTGTTTCAGAAGGTGGTAATTTTCTGCACCAACTTAACTAAAGTACTTGAACTTTGTATTTGGCAATGATTTAGGAAGTTCTAGAAGATGGACAGTGTAAATAAAGTATTGTTGCTAGTGAAAAAGGATTGCATTACCTAATAGTTCCTTTACTGAATGAAATATTCCCCTTCCCCTTCCCCTTGCCCTCAGCATAGAAAATTGGTAAGACTGTGATTGTCAGTGCAAAGGATATTCACTCTATGGATTAATTATAATTCTTACACAGGAACTATTGTTCGACGTCATCGGATTCCACTTCCACCTCCTAATGAAGATCAGTTCTATACTGTAGATCATTTCAACATCAACATAGAAGTAATCCTTTATGCCCGAAGATACAGAATTACAGATTGTGACCAATTCACAAAAAATTTCCTGAGGAAGATGGGAGTTAGATTAAATCCTCCAGCATGTCGTCCAGATGACCCGTACACCAAAGAGCGACAAAAGGTCAGATAATAATGAATAATTGATTTTTCCTAATAATGAAATAATGAAATAATGAATAATGTAATAATGAAAAATTGATTTTAATAAAAGTGCCATTGCATGAAGTAATATATGTGATATTATGTTTCTCTAATATAGCAAACAGAAAGTATGTACAGCTAACTATTTCAATGTTACAAGAGAAATTACAAGAGGAATTACAAGAGAAAACTTGCTTTTTATATAGTATGGCCCATTGTACAAACATAGCAAAGTCCCAAGCATAACTATTTTCCTGGTGATGTGTTCACACACCTTTTGCAGCAGAACAAAAATACTTGATAAAAATAAGTCGTGTGTGTGTATATTAGTTTGATAAAACTGATAAAGCTTATTTGTTTATTAAAACAAGAATAATATCACAGTATTAAAATTGTTCTCAAGGTGTGTGTGTATAGTAGTTGAACAATGTTACATTTACCATCTACCTAAGATGAATTATTTTTAGTGGTATATACAATGAATCAGATTTATTAGAATCAATGTTGCTCTCTCTTTTTGCCTATTTCCTCAAACTGTAACTAGCAGAATTGACTAGAAGGGGCACTGTCATGGTTTTTTATGTGTTATTTGATGTCTATAGATAAACCACTTTCATTTGTAAAGATTATTTGGTAGACCAATAAAAATTATATACAGTATTGTATAACCTGCTTAGACATGATTTTTGTTAAAGATATTTTAAAAACAATGAGCAAAACATTAAAATACTGTGTGTTTGTGTGTGTGTGTGTCTCCAGAGAGTGGAGAAGGGAAGAGAGAGGTTTGACGAATAAGAGCATCAGAAGACTAAAGCTGAATGAAACCTGTCTCTTAACATTCTCAGTCAGTTGATGGGAAATTCTAGAATGGTTATATAGCAAATTCTGGCTGCTTTATGCTCTCACGTTCCTGTGACTAATTTGTAGATGGTAAATTTTAATTTATTAAGTGCAGATTCTTCTGGACTTCTTTGAGCAAAATTAAATGTTTGCACCAAACTCTTAATTATGCAGATGACCAGAAGACGATGATACAAGCGAAAGGAGGAATGTGATGAGATGGGAAATGAGACCAATGAAAAGTGTGACAAGACTCTTAGATTCAAATTTCTGTATTGTTGGAGCTGATATCCCATAGATGGTGATGTTATCTAGCTCTATAGCTCTGTTTGCTTGCTCATTGCATCTTCAGGGCTCAGGAAGGAAGGAAGCTAGTACTGTGATGGTAAATACTGGGATTTTAGCATATGGACATGGTGATACCTGAAACAGAAACAGTATTGCAGATCAACAGGGACACTGGCAGGCAAAATGTGGTTCTGCTTTCCCCAATTTCAGATTTGATGTTCTGAAAGAATGGGTCTTTGTCCCTCCCAGATTTTTATGGCCAGAGGATACATCAGTCAACAGTTCTTTCTGTTCAGACAGCTCAACTTCCATTGCCTTATTGATGTCTATCACCATTCTCCTTCAGTAGCAATTGTATATAATTTCGTAGGTTAAAAGGACCGTCTGACCCCTTTAACCCACTACAGACATGATGGATTTTGACTTAGGAAAAAACACCCTGTCTAGAACGATATTTATGTCTGTGATTAGAACTAACAGTATGTAAATGCACTCCTGGGAATGGATCATCATCCTGGGATCAGATTTAATTCAGTGCTACTGATTTTGCAGCTACTATGATTGAAGACAGCATCTTGTCACACATCACATCAACTGGAATGTATCTTTAATTGGAGATCTGCTATTCCTTTTCAGATCTATAGGTGTATATTGAGAGGAGAATATACATAATCAGTACCTGCTAATTGTGCGAGGTGAATCAAAAGTGAATTAACTGTGTTTTAAAGCTAAAAGAAAGAGAACACCAAAGAAAAAGAGAAGGAATTAGCTCTTTGTTCCACAGTATTTGTATAAATAACTTTCAAGGAAGTCAGGGAGGGCGATGTTATTTGGAGTTGTAATCACCTGAACACCATGGCAATTTTTTGAAAATGTGAGCCATACTGTAAATATTTTAATGATTTCCTGATCTGAAGGACCTTATTGCAAGAAAACCAAAGATCAAAAACATTCCAAAATTGCTTTGAAATATTTTCTGACTGCCCAGCAGCCCCATGGCTAGTTCTTTGGTAATGGCATAAATATAGTTTGATGCGCTGTAATTGTGTGACATTATTTGAAACTCCTAAAAGCATGTTCTAAGATTTGATTGTACCATGTAGTTTGGTATCTTCTCTTTAAGAGCTAATCATTAAAATCTTTTTTTCTTAATTTCTTCTTTATATTCAGATTGTGGATAATATGAAGCCGTTGCGCCCTTATGAGCGCTTAGACACTTTGAGACAATTTCTGGAGTATGATGGACATGTTTTACGTTTTTTCTGTGTGTGGGATGACCCAGAATCTATGTTTCATGACCGACGAGAACTTGTCCTGCACTATTATTTGTCTGATGATACTATTGAAATAAAAGAAATGATACCAGTAAACTCAGGCCGGGATGCAGTTCCACTTTTTCTTAAAAGAAATAAGCTACCAAAGGTGAAGAATGAAAACTTCAGCTTATTTTGAATTCTTTCACTGGTTAGGAAAAATTACATGCCTCTTTTGGAAAATGCTATATTAGGATTGTAATGATATTGAGAAAGTATTATCCAAGTATTAATCATAATTGCATAATTTAGTTTTTGCACGCATATTTATATAATAACTGTAAGTGACAGAACAAATTAAGTATGGGCATGTCATGTTTAAAATAAAAGGAGAAAGAATTTTGGTAGAAACATATTGTACAATAATTTCCTTTCTCCCATATTAATGTATCAATGGAAATGTATAACTAAAGCTCTGTGTGGTATTGAAAGTTCACAAGAGTTCATTGATATTGGGATGTAAATTAATATAAAACTGAAGTGAAATCAGATTTGGTCCATATGATTACTTCTTGGGTCCTCTGGAAAATTCCAAGCTCGGTAACATTATTTCTTTGAAACAAATTTACAGTAATTTCTTAAATTCAAAGTCCTATATTTGGGATCTAATGCAAAGCTAGTTAAACTCAATGGGAATCCACGAATTGACTTCGTTGGATGTTAATCACATGATTATTAGAGAGATGGGAGTTTAAGTCCTCTGTAACCTATTATGATTATAAAACTAATGACTTGGATACACTTCAGTATCCAACACTATCTATCACTTCAGTTTCTATCACTTCAAGTGGTAGAAATAACATCAGCCCACAGCTGGAGTAAAACTCTGGGGAGTCTTTTTCCCTCCTTTCCTTCTAATACTGGTAATTTGTTTGTGATGCTATAGACGTACATGAGACTTCACAGTTAATACCTAACAGCCAAATATACACTGTTTTCACCTTATGTATCCTACTTTCCAAGACGCTGATGTAGGAGTGACGTTACGCTGACAGAACCCTTCTACCTGTACAGTGCATGTTACAATTTTAAGGGCTTGCACCTTCCTCTGAATTTGGGGGAAATTAGAGAAGGACCATCAGAAGAGAGCAGTTGGGGTGTTAGGGAAGGTGGTACGTAAAAATAACGTGCTTCAATTATCCTGCATCACCAGTTGATCATTTTTAAAAATTGTAATGTTTTTATATATTAAGATGTTGATATTACTGCAATAAATTGCTAGGGTAATTTTGAAACAAGTAAAGTAGAAACAAGAATTCTTCTCCCAATAGAACCATGCTGAACTGAATCCCCTGTATTTGTGCTGTGTGCAGCACAGCAGGACTCCAATCCTGAGTGGCTGTTTTATGCGTTTTTATAGTTATTACCAATCAAAATAGTAGTCTTTAGAGCAGAGGTTAACAGGCATGTACTACTTTGGGCGTGCTAATCTTTGCTTTTTGTTTGCTTCTAAGAAAAAGGAGACTTTATTCTTAGATACACAATAAGATTCTGAACGGATCTTTTGACATGTGTACTGACTTTTAGGTTCAGTAGCATAAATATACCTTAGAGTTGGCTAAAAATTCTTCCGAGAAAACACTGTAATAAAAATCAGTCTGTAAAAAATCTGCTGGTTCTAAGGTAACTGAGATCTTTCTTCATTGTTAATTGTGTTTCTTAATAGCTGGTCTCTTTTCTTGCAGTATGCTCCCACTGGGCTGTATCAGCCGGGCACAATCACTACTCGCTCTGTTCTCAATGTGTTTGGAGAGTTAGTAGGAAACAAAGGCCGCTACATTCTGGACAATCGTAAGGTCAGATTATTGAATACCACCAGCTGTTGAATGTCCTTATGGTTGTTTTTGTAATTTCTATACTTGTTATCTTCTACAACACAGAGAGTTATTTATAAAATTGCATTACCACTGGAGCACTGCTGAAATTTAACATACCATGTTTGTGAAAGTGAGGTAGCTTAGCATGGGATGAAAAATACTTGCAAGTGGAATATGAAGTTTTAAATCACATGCACGAAATGACACAGATTTTAAGAAAGGTTGTGTGTGAGTCTGAGATTTATGAAGCTGCTTTGTAAATACTCTCTCTTTTATTAGACAGGAGCAGTACACCAGGAATTTTACAAAGACTGTGACCTGACAATAGGGGCAGTAATTAATGTTTGGGGAAGGAAGATAGTACTTTGTGATTGTGATGAATTTACTAAAGAGTATTACAGGACAAAGTATGGAATCAGTAAGTAGTGATAATTATCATTTCCTTATGAGCCTTTTTATACTTACAATTTTGACAGAACTGCCTTCAGATTTTATCACTGATAAAACAAGTTCATTAAAGCCTTTAGTAATAATAGTCTGTTTTAGGCTGTTAACAGCAAAGCAGTAATTTTGCAGGTGATCCAGAAGGGTTTTCTTCTATGTTACACCTTCAAACCAATACATAACGTGTATGTTCTGTCACCGACTGCCTCAATTTTAAAACTTGAATGACAGAATAGTTATATGGATAGACTGCCATTTCTTCTCCCCTTCTTTCCCCTCCCGTTCCAATATCCATGTTTGCAGTAAGAGAATAATAAAGAGTATGTAGTGAATGGGTAAGTAGAGTGGGCCTGAATATTCCCCATTATGCCATGTTCCATCTTATATGGATAACAGAATCCTTATATAATATGATTTTCTAACACAACAATGGTAGTCTATCACGCTACTGCTTTTTAAGTAGTTTTGTGTATTCTGGGCCGCTAGAGTATTTATCCTGTGAGATTTCAGCATTGAATTCTGGAAACATTTAGCAACTATGTCCATAACGGAAAAGCATTTTGGAAATGTATAACAGTAGGGGCTTTCGTTTATCTGTCTCTGAATTACCTCGGTCAGACTTGCTAATGGTTCTGTTATGGACTTAATCCTGCAAAAACAGCTCAGTTAATTTCTGTCAATTTGTTCGTTCTGTAAATACAACTTACTTAGTGATCAGAAGAATCCTTCTATGGCCTTTCTCTGACATTGTGAAACAAAATACCTAGGTAGATTATTTCTTTCAGCTTGACTTGTGACCAGATAGAATGCAGTGTTTGGATCAAAGCCTGTTTGCTGCATTGGGGGAATTAAGTAATGTAGTGCTGCCATTATAAACACTGAATTTCTTAATTGGCAAAACATGTCTCAATAGGACTTTTTTTATAATAGCTTGGCATGTCTGTACCAAAATAAATCTTACCTTCTTTTATTAGCCAGTGCATGAGGAAACCGTACTCAAAAACCATAGTTTTATCTATGATAATAATGAGTCTAAGTCCAGAGATGCATAACAAGGGGTTCTTCCCTCGAAATTTTTTCAGCCAAGACTGCTGCCTCTGTTTGGCAGCAATATCTTCTGTCTGAGCAAAATATCCTGGAACAACGAATGAGGATTTCTTACTCACAGCAGAGAGAGAAATGAAACACAGCTGACCATTCTATATCAACCAAGCAATGCAATCAAGTGTTACACAAATGCAAAGGTTCTTCCCCTCATATAATGCTGGCTCAGTAATTACTAGTTGTGTCTCTGGTTGTTAATCTGGGTGCTTAGTAAGTTAGGAGAAGTCGGAATGGCTTATTGTTGTATGTAGAGATACAGAAGATCGGGACCATAGGAGGTGCTTTAGTCCATTCCCCTTGTTCTGAGGCGGGATAGTGCGTACATAGACTGTCTCTGACTGATGCCTTTTATCAGCATTCTCCAGCAGAGCAGATTCCTCCACCTCCGCCTCCTGGGGTATCTTGTCCTAACCTTATAGTTAAAGAAATGCTTCTTAGGAGCAACCCTGAAGCTGTTCTGTGCAAACTGAGAGAGCAGTTTTCTTGTCTTGCCCTTTGTTGGACATGGAGAACAACTGGTCAGTATCGGGGTGCAATAACATTGCACATATTTGAACCCTATTCTAATACCCCTTCTTACCACCCTCCCTCCCTTTTAGGCTTTCTTCTGCTAGGCAAAACCCAATTCTTTCAGTATTTCTCCATGGTCCCTTCTTTTGTGTCCGTGGTGATTTTTCTAGGTTTTTTTTCAGTGCTCTTTCCAGTTTATCCAGCTCCTTAATGTATGACATACAAGAATATACTCTGTTGGAGACCTCCACAGAACTGGCTAGCGCTTTGTACGTAACTTGAAGGGTATAGGGTGGCAGAGACTGGCTAACAAAAAGCACCCATCTTGATGCAGCCTGTCTTGTTCATAGAGAATATACACATTCTTAGAGCTAGAAGATATTTCTGATTTGCTCTGAACTTTTTGCCTGTTTGTTTTTCCCACCAGCATAGACAACAGTAGGTATGACCTTTCAGTTAGAAGGGGCTAGGAGTAGAATCAGGATAGTTTTTGGTTTAGAAGCAGTTCAGGCTTTGAGGGAGAAAGGGTTTGCCTTTTATTGGTAGTGAGTTACCAATTTTGTTTGAATCGTTCGATGAAAACAGCGGCTAGGTTTGATCTAAGAGAATGATAGGCAGGGTGCATGCACAAGGTACTCTCAGTGGGCTCAGTCACACAAAGTGCCCAGCATTCTGCCCTGATCCAGTTAAACACTGAAACATGTTTAATTGCAGTTTGAATCCAGAGAGGCGATTTACTTGAGTAAGAGTGAGCGTGTGGATAAAGGAATTTATATGAAGGCAGAGTGCTCCGCACCTCACGGCATCAACTCTCCTGTTTGTTACTGTTTTCATGTTACTCCTCTTCACTTTACACTCTTCTGCCAAAGCCATTACAGAAGCCGACATTTATTTGACTCTGCTATTTCATGCATAAATTGCTTGCTGGTGGAATTTGCCCTTTAGGAGAACTAAGGGCAGTTTAGATTTCCCTTGAGGTGCATGATTATGATATTTGATGTATTTCCAATGTTACTTTTGCCTGTTTTGCTCTTTGTATTGTTTGTGAAAAGCAAAGGAGAGTTTTTCTATGGGTAAACGATAACTAGTGTCCTTCAATAGGAAGCTAATGACATTACTGTTGTGTAGCGCTGCTGTGAATGCAAGAGAAAATACCGTAATTGGTGATAATCTGTCTAGTTTTGCTAATGCAGCTGCAGAGAGGGAGCAAAATGTTCTATAGGCATGTAGGCGTTGTGGACGCCCAGATGAAACGTGGAATATATTGACATGTGATGGGGGGAGGCCGATACTCATTCTTTTAACTAAAGACAGTATCCCAGCACAGAGTTGAGTATTAAGTGTCCTCTCTTAAATAACAGATTGTTCCAAAAAGGAACAAAACCAGTAAAATCTGGTTTCCTTTCTGATTTTTGTTCAGTGTCCCAGTACCTCCCAAGCCTGTCTGTTCTGTCTACGCCTCTCTGCAGCACCCTGTGATCCCTCCCATGTCGCAGTTCTCCTCGCCTTCCCACCCCCTCGTTTCTCAGGCTCCCTCTCTGACCTGCTGCCTGGGCAGAGCGGTGTGCAGGGCCATCGGCTGGCCAGTACATGTGTGCTTTTGGCCAGGCAGCTGCTGCTGGAGAACAGCTGACTCCTTGATTTTCCCTCAGTGGGGGTATTAACGCTTGCTGCCAATTTTCACTAAACTCATTGGAGATCAAAATCTTTCTGGCCTCTAACCCCTCTGTTAAACGTGGTTGAAACTGAGCAGAGGGTTGTGAACATGCATGGGAAGGACTACGTGCATTTACAGAGGCCTTTTTTCCTTAGGTAACCAGAAAAAGCATGAAGTGGGACTGCGTAAAAGGAAATTTTTCCTTCCTATGACTCAAAATAACATTGTCACGTTTCAGCTGCAGTTTTGTCAGGACTAGATTTTCTTTAATACTGCTTGTGAAAGTTGTGAAGACTTGAAAGTTGTGTATTGCCTTCTTATTTTACCTTTTACAAAAATGGTGAAAATGGCTGTCACTAAAAATAAAGTTGAACATAAGGCCATGTTAGTTTTATATCCCTTTCTCGGCTGTTTCTTATTCATCTCCCCTTATGCATAAGGAACAGCATGTTAAGAATGTCATACCTCCAAGCTAAATCAACATCCTATGTTGCCTAAGGCTAGTGGGATTTCTCTTTCCTGTTCTTAGCTTCAGTGCTCGGAGGTGTCTGGCTTTCCTGCCTGCTTGTTATATACTGATACTCTACATGGTTATCGCTGTAACCCAGGATATGTGTCACTTGCCTCTTCCTTGAAATACTGAAAAAAAATAAAAATAAAAATAGAAAAGTCTTTTTCTCTGACACGTAAGTGTTTTACTACAGTTCTTTGACTGAGGGCAAAAGGTAAAATAGGATAGGATCAGCTATTATCCTTGATATACTGTACAGGGAGAGTATCTCTTTGTAATCTTAAAATGGATATTGAAACTGGAAGCAGGCAAAACCTCATTGAAGCTGGTTTAGTGCTGCCTCTGTGGCAACAAATTATTTTTGATAAATTTAGTTTTCAATGCTGAGGAGGCTATATCTTATTCAAATTGTTTGTATACTGAAGGAGAAGCGGCTGGGGCTGTAGTTGATTTTTGTTTCTTGCTTTTCCCAGTGCTTGTTCAAATCTCACTTGGGCTTTGCTGTCATGAGAAAAAGTTACTGGAATGTAATAAATGTCTGGTATAATAGGTGAAATAAATTTCATAGTACTAGCTCATCTCCTGCTGGGCACCAATTGATGCAGCGAGAGGGGGAAAACTGTCCATGGGGAAAATATCTGTACTGTCCCTTATGAGAGTAGAATTTTGTGATCTAGGACTATCAGTTTACCTTCTCCCCCTGTAAATCCACACTGAAAATGTTGCAGCATAAAAAGAGAGCATTGCTTCATTTTCTGGAATGGACAGAGGTAATTTGCTTAAGAAGCAGTGATATCCTTGAGAGGGGTGTATTTTATGTGTAATTGCAAGTTGTCTGTCTGTTACTACCCTAACAGTGCATGGCAAAGCGAAAATGAAATGAGTTTTGAACTCAGGCCTGTTTTTTAGTCTAATGCACTGAGATGGCTGTTCAAAACTTGCAGAAATAAGTTTTTAACTAGTTTGATAAACTATATTTTTCTGTGTCAAATTTTTCCAAAGTTTCCTTATTTGTAGGAGAGAATCTGAATATATAATCCTTTAAAATTATGGAAACTGTAGATTGCACAAGACTGGATGTTTGCATTGTTCTCTGTAGTGAATCTGGATGAAGCAAGATCATTTTACATTGGGGAAAGAATGGGAACCAAAGCACTGAACTGCTCTTTGGATTTAATTTACCCCACGCTTGGGTTGTGAGGTGTTTAGCATACTGTCTGGAATTAACACAATCATCACCTTAATTTGTAGTTGCCTTTCAGTTTTTAAAGATAGTTTTCATCTATATGTGCTAACGTATCTGTAAAGGGAAATGCTTCAGCATTTCTTAATGAATGCCTTATGCATAAGTGCTAATGTGCATATACTGTGACATGCATGTAAATGTGTTAGGTTATCTCTTGCGTTTATCATTTCAACTGAACGTCCTTCCTTTCCAAACTGTTTTGGCAGGAGGCATGTTATTTACAAATGTACTAAAGTTTTTTTTCTGCTAAAAGGCGTTGTTACAAACCTCTAGACTTTGAAAGAGAAAATACTAGCATGGATTAGCAATGTCATTAAAAAAATTAATGATAAGATTAATAAGTAACACTAAGACCTTAATTACAGGTACCTAAGTTATGGACCACTCAGGAAAGCATATGCTGTTACTGCCTACGCTGACTGTGTGTTAGGAGATAAAGGAAGTGAAAAAGTAGACAACGATGTTCTAGCACAGTTGAAATCCATGCATTTGATTTGCATCATGACTTATTAATACTGTTTTTGGAGATCAGAGGCTGATTGTATGACCTTTTGATTACAGGTTTTACTGCCATCTTAAAAATAACCTGTTAATGCCTGATAATCAAGAGAATGAAGTGAAACTGAATAGTTATTTTTGTCTAATTTACCACATATGCACTAGGTGGCACTGTTGGAGTGCAAGAAAGCTCTTAATCAAGGTTTCATCTTTTATATGTATTTGCTGATTTCTATGTATTTTCTTCATTGCTGAAGAAAACCTGTATTATGAAACGAACATTTCTTTCTCTGTTGATCAATACAGGGGTAGTCGTGTAATAACTCAGCATACACCGTACACCAACTCAACGTATACCATCAATACCAGTGCATACCTTTCTTTTTTTTCTGTCTCAATAGATGTGGATTTATGTATGCAGTGTTTATTGTAACAGGAGCTACACATATGAGTTACAGCATAGCACACAGAAAGTATCTCGAGAGGTAATTTTGTCGCGGACAATATTTAGAAAGTAATATTTTGGTGCATATTTACCTATCAACTTATTCTGTGACTCCGTAAAGACTACTTTGAAAATTTTCCAGTGGACTATCTTTTCTATGTGGACTTGAGATTTGTGCTTCTTCTGAATTATAGAAAGGGCATGTGCAGTTTTTTTCTGGAAAAAAATACTAATGTGGTTTTGCAGAAACCTCTCTTGGCTGACTCGAGGCATTAGCTTTTTCCAATAAAACAATATTCTCATAAGAAGTAAATGCTGCAGAAAATTGCATTATGCTTTTAAGTTAAAGAGAAACTCTGACATTGAATTCTTTCTAAATTTTTCAATTTCATATTGCTGTTAGGCAGCTCAGATTTTAGTGAGTAGGTTACTGTGATCTTCTGATATCCCCCTATTTAAAACTTTTCAATAACGAACCAGTTCAGGAAGAGTTTGAAATGACACCAACTCTATCTTTCTCTTCTACTTGTACTGAAACCCAAGCTACAGTGTAGGTTATTCATATCTCTCTCTTCTGGGTAGAAAAGTTTAGTTTTTGAAAGAAAAGACCTTCATTTTGCGAGGTCCAGTTTTATACATTGCCTGCTTTGCCTCTCCTTGGCTCCTGGGCTGTGGTCTGTGATCCATCTTTCTGTCCAATTTGCCTCAGGTGTCTTTTACTTACCAGACTAGATGCACAGCCAGGAGATTTAGGGAGGTGACTGTCCCCTGCTGCTCGGCACTCAGACCTTGCCTGGGCACCATATCCAATTTTGGGCCTCCAGGATGGGAAAGACACAAACAAACAGGGTGAGTTCAGGGGAGGCCCTGAGACAGTGGGGCTCTCCTCTCCAGTGAGGAGAGGCTGGGGCACGGCGCCACTCAGCTTGGGGAGGATAGTGGCAGGGCCACCTTGATGGGAAGGGCACTGAGACAAGGGGGGCCAGCTCGTTCAGGCTGACGATGGGGAAAACCTTTTCCCTGTGAGGTCACTAGGGCGCTAGAGCAGGTTACCCAGTGAGGCCATGCAGGCTCCATCCCTGAAGATTTTCGAGGTCAGGCTGGGCACAACTTTGAGCAGCCTGGTCTGAGCTAGACCTGACACTTGTGCTGAGCTGGAGGTTGGGCTAGAGACCTTCCCAGGTCCTATCCGACCTGAATTATCCTGTGATCCTATGATTTATCACTTAATTTGCTTCAGTTCTGCCTATCCGTTTTTCCTATTATACAGGTCACTTTTCTCCTCTCACCTTTTTCATTTTCCATGGACCTTATTTAACTAGAAGACTGTATCACTCTGGTGAAGTTTTATGTGAGCCCTGCTGGCAGTTAGAAATGGTGTTGCAGTGAAACAGCAGTTCGGGGAAACAACGAGGGGCCAACTGGGGCCGGCAAGCTTTTCACCAATAGAGAAATAAGGAAGGATCTTAGGGCAGCAGGGCTTTTTGGAGTAACATATATTGGAAGTGAGAACAGGGACCTGGCGGGTCATGTTCCCGCTGAGATAGGAGCACTCCTGCTGTATATCTGGGATATGTCAAGACCATTCAGCACTGTGAGGAAAGATTTGAGGGTAGGAAAAAGAGTAAAAAGAAAGCTTCCAAAACTCTGGAGATAGTTGGGATGTGGACTAAAGCGATTGGCACCATATCAAGATTTACATAAACTTTTAGAATTCTTCTATGTATGATTTATATAATGAATGTAATTTTATTTATTTACATATTTGTTTTCCCCTGGCAAAAATTAAAGGGCAGAAAACTCATAAACCAGGTATTTACATAATGATGTTATCTCAAGGGATAAAACTGAAACATTATTTTAGAATAGGACTGAAACTATTATTTTATAGTTTTGTCCTATTTTGAAACTGTATTTGTCTTTTTTGCCTGTGTGTCTTGTTTAATGGTTTTTGTTGAGATGAAATTTCCAAATGCTTGAAGTGACAATAATTTTGGTGTTGGCTGCTATGGAGCCTTTCTTCTACCCTGTAGCTGCAGGAGGGGGCCTAGTTTTACTTTGATCAGTGGTGCTCCGTTATAGAAATAGGCTAATAAGCCTTCATGTTGGAAAGGGAAATCTGTAGGGGAATGGCACCATCAGAACAACAATAAATAAGTTTTACTGTCTTTGTTATAGTGGATTTCACCCCTATTCCATATAAGGCTCCACTGCCTCCAAAAACAGAAAAGACGCTTCCACCATATACTGGATTTGGTTCTGAAGAGGATTCTCTGTGTTCCTGCCTGGGTCTGCTTCCCAAGCCTCCCCAAAAAGATTTCAAGAAATTCATGGAGAAGGACAGGTATTTCAGTGAAAAATAATTCCAACCTTTTGTATTATTATTCCTTTTTGTGAAGGAAATGGGCATTAAGTAGGGATGTCATTTTTCAGTAAGGTATGAAGCTCATTGGACTTATAAGGGACAAGTGTATGAGGACTGGTTTAGTGATGTGATATTCCACTTTTCTCTGATGTCAGCAAAATTTATCTTCTAAGAAGGCAAATATTTTGACCTCTCTCCCCATCGCTCTGGCTGCCT